TGTGGAAGTGATATCACCCATGGTATTTGCAAGCCTGTGAACTTTACATGAACAACCAACCAGCCTCCCCCAGGGACATATCCATCACGTTGACCTAAGAGTAAGTTGTGAAACTAGAAGTGGGTCCTTACTATGATGAAAGTGGAAATTCTAACTTAATGGCAATATCAACCACTGAGTTCTCATACTGAATTGAGAAGTGGGCTGTTTAAAATGAACAGAAAACAATTTCCTATATTTTTTACATGAAATTAACATCAAGACTGAAAAATATTAGTCTTTTGGGTATATAAAGAACTGACAACACACTAATTCCAAATCCAATCTGCTTGATTTAACATATGACATCAATTACTAATAAAACAAACCTATTAATACATATATCAGGCAATATTTGAGCTTTTGTTATCAAAAATCATCAACTACATAAGAAAATATTTGACAAATGTATTTGAATAGCCTCGATGCCTTTGTAAAAACAATTACACATTGGAGTTTCCTTTCAGAGAAATCTCTAAGTTGGACAGTGTCTTACATCTTTTCTATAAAGTTCTATGAATATACACTTATTTTACTACCTGGTTGCTCCTATTCATGTTTAAAATAAACAACAAAGAAAATAATTCACCTATATCTGTCCTCAATCCTCAGAACCTTGTAGTTTTCTATCTCCACTTCATTGTCAAAGGCATTGAACCCGAGTCAGGTGCTCATTTCTGCTTGAACACTATAAAGAAAAGTCACTTCACCTCTTGGTGTGTGTCTTTCTCCATTTAGTAACTTTCTTTTCATCAAAGGCTTTTTCTAAGCTCATTAGAGAGACTGGGGCAGTGTTTCCAGCCATAGAGACTTCCAGTCATACAGACTAAGTTAGGATCCTGATTCTCCCATTCATTTCATCCAACACCATGTAGACAACTGGAAGCCTCACTTCTATGTGTCCAAATGCCTCGTTCAAAGGCTTTCTGTGAGGAATCAGTATCTGTCTGGACAGCACGCAGGACATTGCCTCGCACACAGCATGATACTCAATTAATATTGTTACCTACGAAACAGGTTAAGGTCACTTGATTCTCCGATCCCATTAAGTGTTTTTATTCTCCTCCCTACCCAAAACTGTCATTAGCAAATTAAAATAAAGAATGGTTGCATTCAACAATCCAGGTCATCTGGATTCCAGAGGCAAAGGTCTTGGGAAGAACCCAGAATTATTTAGAGAATCACTTCACTTTTCCACTGTTATTTTGCTTCTTCGTACTTGGTGTAAAACCTGAAATCCTGCCTCCTGCAGTGGCCAATACCCACGCACTGGTAGAGAAATCCAATGGCCCTAGCAAAGCAGGTCTTGTCCAGTGTGTGGAGAGCAAAGACAGCAATGCAGAGTCTAACCGGAAAATCACATCTCCACATGCTCAGTTACGTGGCTAGTACATCAATTCTACCCTTTCCCACTTCTTCATGTCCTCCCACCAAAATCCCAGTTAACTCTGTTTTCTCCTTCTTTCAATACAAGAGATGTGATAGGCTAAATGTATAATCCAGACACTGCAAACAACCCAGGAGGTCTGCTGCTACTTCGAACACTTTGTAGGAACCGTTTACAATGCCCGGCAACACTCTGGCCAGCAGGGAGGCTTGACACACAGAAGTAAACTGTACATTGTAAACCAGGAATGTTCTATGTTTTTGCCTCTATCGTCTTAAAAAATAACAACATGTGGCTGTTCCCCAGGGTTCAGCAGAGTGGAGTTCTCACACTCTGGTGCTCCCGGAGACCCTGTATTGCTCGTCATGGAACTACATACACTTCTGAGCATGCAATGATATAATCATCTTAAGAATAGACATGGAATTTCTATCACCACCAATAATGCCAAATAGACATCACCTATTTTGAACCAAACGGTGGTTTGGTTCAGTATTTATGAGCACAATCTGATTCTTAGCATTTATTTTCGTAATCAGAAATGTAAAAGTCTTTTTCAGCAGAGTAAAAATGTTGTTGCCACCCACAAAGTCCTAAAGGAATCAATATGGAACCATCGGAGGTGACACCAATGAACAGAGGTCAGAAACCAAACACTAAACAAAGTGAAGAAGGGATGGAAAGGAGAAAGATGACACATCTCAGAGCTAATAACACAGAAGCCCGGAGCAGGAGTCTTAACCAGGGGCAATCAGCAAGGTCAGGATCCTCAAACCAAACTCAGCTCTGGTTCCCCGGGAGTGAGAATGCCTTTCCTATCTGGCATCAGCAAGTCACAGAAGCAGGCTTTGGACACACTTTGCTCATGCATTGCAAAATGGACACTGAATCTCAAATGATATCTGTTCCTCAATTCCAATTTCATTCATGGTCTTCATTGTATATTACTAGAGTGCACTAGTTGCACAAAATTTGTACATGGAGGGAGGGGGTGTGTGTCTCTCAGCCCAGCCTGCACCTCTCCAATCTGGGACCTCTTGAAGTATGTCCAACTGCTACCAGGATCAGGCCTAAATGGGCAGTCGGATATCCCTCTCATAATCCAGGACTACTGGCTCCCAACCACTCGCCTGCCTGCCTGCCTGATTGCCTCTAACCACTTCTGCCTGCCAGCCTGATCACCCCCTAACCACTCCCCTGCCAGTCTGATAGATGCCTAACTGCTCCCCTACTAACCCGATTGCCCCTAACTGCCCTCCCCTGCTGGCCTGGCTACCCCTAATTGCCCTCCCCTACAGGCCTGACTGCCCCCAACTGTCTTCCTTTGTGAGCCTGGTCCCTCCCAACTGCTCTCCCCTGCTGCCATTTTGTGGCGGCCATCTTGTGTTTACATGGGAATGGCCAACTTTGACCACATGGGGGTGGCCAACTTTGTGTGTTAGAGTGATAATCAATTTGCATATTACCTTTTTATTATATAGGATGTCTCTGGATTCACAAAGCCTAGATTCAAATCCTAACTCCAAATTTTGAGCTGTATGAAAAGAAATAATGATGCCGACCTCACTGGGCTGTGAAAAGGACATAGTAAAGTGGTTGAACAGTTCCTGGCCCTGTTTTCATTATTATGAATATCTTGGAGGACAAGAGCTTTCCATTTGGTTACATTATTTACACAAATAAATAAGGTGCGTTGACATTTCATTAACCATTATTAAGTTCCCTAGAACAGAGTGTGTTAGGTAAAGTACAACTGGCTTAATGAGAATGAACATAAGAAGAATGATTTAGTGCCATGACTTTGAGGTTGTTTACTATTGCTCAGTCAAATTAAAGTATTTTACATCATTCAAAGACAAGAGCAATCATTTTTCCACTACTTGGAGGCCTGCAAATGCATTATTTCTTCTGCTGAAAATCAGTTTTCCATTAGCTTTTGAAGTCTTGTGTAAATGAAAAGTGGATTCCATTAGATTAAAATAATGCTCCTCTTTATATTTTCTGACACTGTGAGTTACTTTTAACTTCATGCTTTTGCTTCATTGTTCACTCTCCCATGTGTCCTACTTTTTTTTTTTTTTAATTTAGGAAAACACTACAAATTCAGTCTTATCTGTTTGTCACCCTTCCTCCTCCAGCTTCAGATAAAATAGGGGAATATAAGTAACACACACACTGTTTTGAACTTATTTTTCATTTTTTCAGAGAAATCCAAATATGGATGTTCCTGGGCTCTTTCATGCTATTGCTACTTAAGGAAAAGCATAATGCTCAGTTTTCCTTAATACCTTGCTTGAGCTTCCAAACTGTACTGTGCAAAATATCTAGGGTCCCTTGTTCCTAGGTAGAGTTTGTTTTTCTTTCAAAACTAAAATCTTCAGTTTTATTAAAATTTGCACCAATTTCCTCCTGGGTGGAAAAGGAAATCAGCAATAATAATAGATATGGAACTTGTTCAGATTTAAACACCTCACATACAGGGGTCGTCTAAGACCATCAGAAAACATAGGTATTTACATTACGATTCATAACAGTAGCAAAATTACAGTTATAAAGTAGCAACAAAAATAGTTTTATGGTTGGAGGTCACCACAGCATGAGGAACTGAATTAAAGGGTCGCGGCATTAAGAAGGTTGAGAACCACTAGAGGTAGGTTTTACTTCATTTCTTAGGCGAGGAGAACAAAAAGGCTTCTGGATGGCTCCCACACAGGTCCAAGAATAACAGAAATGTCACTAAGGGCCACTTTGGAGCTGTGTCTGTTCAGAGCACCTTGTAGCTCACGTTGCCTCCTCCACCACCTTTTCAAAAGTGAAGACAAGTGGGGCAGAGAAAAGGAGCTCCCCAGAGAGAGCTGCGGGGCTCAGCTCCAAACACCTCTTCAAGCCCCTGCCTCATGTGCACAGGCCCTGGCCATGCTAGTGGGGAGCAAGAGGTGTACTATGTATATAATCTGGCCCTATCACTGTTACAGCTTTGGGCAGACTGGGGCAAGGAGAGGAAGAAAAGAGAAGAATGAGCTCTATTCTCACCAACAGAAACCCCAACTGGGAAAGGACTGGCTCTTCCCATTAATGAAAGGGAAAGCAAGGTCATGCATTCCCATCCATCCAAGCCTTATCACAAAAATCATCTCAAACCTGGCAGATATGCTGTTGTCTGATCAACTTAAGGAGATCTAACTAGAAAATAATAAAACTGCTTTTCAGGCCCCACTAATGGAATTGGTGACAATGCAAAGTACCCTCTAACCTTTAGTGTGACTCTTGTGACTGTGGCTTGCTGAACACCTGGAAAAATGAGAGATGGACTATCTCTCTCATTTATCTTCAGGCCCTTCCTGACTTGCTGTTTCTGTGCTGTTGTAATTTGTCCCATTATGGTTATAATAAGATATCAGTCTTATTGGTTTACCAAGCAGGCCTACCAAGGTTAGCTATAGTTAGCAACTATATTCTGTTAAAATGCCTTCAGGCCAAACCTTTCATCATTCTTCCTCATGGTCTTCTCATTCATTGCTGTTTTTATTGGACATTGTCATCTGCACACAATAAGATCTCAAAAAGTGCTTACCTCTGAATCTTTGGCCTGCTGATTGCGAACCACTATTAAATTGTACAGGATTCTGTCATCGTCCGCCTCTGTGTGGGACACATCATGAGGCATACTCCACAAATTCTTTTCATCATCCCTTGCCAGAGTTGCTCCGAATGAAGAATATGGGTTGCTATTACTGTGGTATAAAAAAAAAAAAAAGTGTATAAGGGCTTTATAATATCCTATATAATAAAAGAGTAATATGCAAATTGACCATCACCCCAAGACGCAAGATGGCCACCCCCATGTAATCAAAGATGACTGCCCCCATGTGGTCACAAGATGGCCACCACAAGATGGCCAGCAAAGGAGGGCAGTTGGGGAGGACCTAGGCCTGTAGAGGAGGGCAGTTACAAGGGACCAGGCCAGCCGGAGAGGGCAGCTGTGGGCAATCAGGCAAGCAGGGAGGGCAGTTAGGGGTGACTGAGCCAACAGAGGAGGGCAGTTGGGGGAGACCAGGCCTGCAGGGGAGGATAGTTGACCATGCCGGCAGGGGAGGGCAGTTAGGGGCAATCAGGCTGGCCAGAGAGCAGTTAGGCATACATCAGGCTGGCAGGGGAGTGGTTAGGGGGTGATCAGGCTGGCAGGCAGAAGCGGTTAGAGCAATCAAGCAGAGGCAGGCACAATCTTGGATTGTGAGAGGGCTGTCAGATATCTCTCAAGGGGTCCCAGATTGGAGAAGTGCAGGCTGGGCTGAGAGACACCCCCCCTTGTGCATGAATTTTGGGCACTGGACCTCTAGTATATAACATATACATCATAAGTATACAAATGTACTATAAATAAAATAAATAGTATATCCTATATAATAAAAGCCTAATATACTGTGTCTGGTCATTCTGTCATATGTTCAACCAACCAAAGTATAATATGCTAATGATATGCTAAGGCCGCTCAACCTGTTCACTATGACATACACTGACCACCAGGGGGCAGACAGTTAACTGCTCAACCAGTCACTATGATGTGCACTAACCATGATGGGGTAGACGCTCCCACCAGTAGGTTAGCTTGCTGCTGAGGTCTGGCCAATTAGTGACTGAGCAAGAAGGGCCAGACACGCCTTGGAGCCTCCCCACACCCCTCCCACAACCCTCCATCCCTCCCTGGGCCCTATCATGTACTGGTGGGTTCCCTTGGCCTGGCCTGTGCCCTCTCACAATCTGGAACCCCTCAGAGGATATTGAGAGCCAGTTTCAGCCTGATCCTGCTCAATGCAAGAGGTGACCACGGGGGGGGGGGGGGGGGGGGGGCCTGCTCAGCCAGAAGCTGGGCTCACAGCTGGCGCATGCAGCAGCAGTGGCAGGAACCTCTCTCACCTCTGTGGCAGTGCTCCCACCTCCCACCCCAAGTGCACAATTTCATGTACCGGGCCTCTAGCATTATGTAATATGTAATGTAATATATAACTATATTCCTAACAAAGAGATAAATTGTCTCTAACAATTAAATATAACATAATAAAAAAGACATTTTAAAAACAGCAAAGAAGAGATGTGATCAGATACCTGGACAGAGGTAATTTTACTGCTAAACATAAAATTTAACAGAGTACCCAGGCAGCTAAAACAACAACAAAAAAAGGAAATTCAGTGGGGACTAGAACTCGTGTGATTGAAAGGAGAATACAATTAACATAAAGAGATGAATTTTTACTGGCTCTGAATTCAAGGAAGCACAGTAAATTTAAAGCACAATAGTATGAAATATCTATCAATTTCCTTACAAAGAAAATGAAATGATAAACATGCATACCCAAGTAGTTTCAATAAATAATGCGAGATGTTGAGTAGGAATTTCAGGAGCCCCACTTTTTCATGTTGGTTTTATGATTTACCCTTTAAAAGGCAGTATCCATGCTTGGGCTTAGAGAGATGTGTAGCAGAGCCTCCTACCAGGGACATGTTTGTACACAGCCCCAGTAAACTTCTGTGGGACCAGACAGGTGAGGTCATGGTGGGGCTATTCCCTTCATCTAATGGTATGCATGAAGCACCAACTCCATGTTAATGACAGAGCTCAATAAAATCATGAGCAACATAAACATGGTCCTTGATTGGACCTCACTAGAGTCTAGGTAGAGAAATACATTAATGAGTGATCACATGACTGCATAATGAAAAACTATCACAGGAGAAGTTTGGGGAGTCTTGAGAATTAATGGGGGTAGGCATTGGGATAAAGGAATGCTGGAGCTTTATATTGAAAGAACAGTGTTCCAGGCATGTTCAAAGGCTCTGGGGTGAAAGGAAGCAGAGTGTATGTATGCCCTAGAAGAAAAGGGACATTGACCAGCCAGTGAAAGAGAAGCTGGGGGAGTAGCTGTGGCCAGAACCACAGGGCTTTGTAAACCATTTTCTTTTCTTACATTATTTAGAAACTAGAGGCCCAGTGCATGAATTCGTGCAAGGGGCTTGGCCCCTGTTCATTGCATAGCTGCAAGCCTCTGCCTTGGCCCCCGCCTGCCATAGCATCGTCCAGAAGCACATCCTGTAGGACATCTGGTTTAATTAGCATATTATACTTTTATTATTATAGATATAGATGTTTTCTTTATTCCTAAAAGCAAGGAAAGATGTGGAAGGGTTTAAAAGGAATGTGATGTGACATGACAGTATTATAACTTTAAAGACTTTTCTGGCTAAAGTGTGGAGAGGAGAATGCTTGAAAGGGGTCAAGAGTAGACCCGAGGATTCATTAAAATGCAACTGAGGTAACTCAGGTGAGACGTGAAAGGCATCAGGATTAGAACGATGGCGTGGAGCTGGAGAAAAGCCCACTCTTCGGAAATACTCAGCAGGTAGATGCCCTTCATGTGACTATACAGCAATGGGATAAGTGGATTTTTTAAAAAAACGATGAACAGAGTGTTGTAGTAGCAGAGAAGGAATGACAAATTGTGTGTTTGTATGAGAAGGAAGTGCAAGAAAGATTTTATGGAGGTGACGACACCTAACACAGACCTGAGGAATACACAGCTTTTCTTTTTCCTTTTTTTTTTAATTAAAAAAAATTTTTTTAAATTGATTTTGTACAGAGAGGAAGGGAGAGAGATAGAGAGTTAGAAACATCGATGAGAGAGAGTCATCGATCAGCTGCCTCTTGCACAGATATGCCCGCAACCAAGGTACATGCCCTTGACTGGAATCGAACCCGGGACCCTTCAATCCCCAAGCCAACGCTCTATCCCTTGAGCCAAACCGGTCTCGGCGGAATACACAGCTTTTCAGCAGAAGAGAAGCCAGAGCAAAGGTGGTCCGCGCAGAGGGAACAGCACAGTCGCAGGTGTGGAGGCTCAGTTCCTGCAGAGCTGGGCAATGCCAGGTGCCCCCGCAGAGCTGCGCCACCATGGAGGGCGGGAAAGGCAGGGACAGGGAGAAGAAAAGGTGATGCGGGTCTGACCGAGGAGAGCACTGGAGTCTGGGCTTTACTCTATAAGCTGTGGCAGGTTAACAAGGGGATTTGGAGCCTTGCCAGCTCCGGGTTTAGAGAAATAACTGCATGAAGAAGGAACAGAGACATGGCTCAGGAGGCTGCCATAAGAGGGCAGGGCGATGTTCAGGCCCTGCTCTTGGAGAGCCTAGCATCAGGGCCTGGGGTGTGGGGGGAAGTGGTGCAGAAGGTGGGCAAACCCTCCCAAGGCAGAGAGAGAAGCTCACAAACCACCACAACCGGAATAGCTGCTCTGCTTAAAATCCCATTGGTTAGAGACATGAAGAAGTTTCCTCAGGGCATGGAAAAGGTGGGGCACTATTGCCAAATATACACATAAGGGAGGCCAAACATTTTGAAACTGGCTGGGGTGGGAGTGAGCGAGGTGTGGGCCAGGGAAACAGTGGCGGGAATGGAACTGAGGAGGTGGACTCCAGCAGCATCTGAGGGGGAAGTGGCAGGCCTGTGACTGGGGACGGCAGCATGGCGGCGGGAGGAGAGGAGTCAGAGCTGACCTGGGAGCCGGCCGGACCTGCAGAGAGAGGTCGGGATCTGGCTCCAGAGCAAGGGCAGGGCTGGAGGTCTGCCCCTGGAGGAATGCACATGCCTTCCCATTAGCGCTGAAGCGGCGACCAGAGGGGCCTCAGGAAAGACCTCCGGGGACAGCCAGCCCTAAGGAGCAGCGGCGGGAGGGAGCTGGAGAGAGCAGAGGAAGAGGAAGAGAGAATGCTGGGAGAACGAGGAAGGGACACCGGAGAGCGGTGGATGGCATGGAAGGCGTGGACTCCGATGGCTTTCTGCCCGAACAGATTGCGCAGAGGTGATCAAGCCTGCACAGGGCTTCCCTCCAGGGCTTCCACATCCCACCCCTCCCCTTACCCAACCACCTGAGGTCAAGAGGGTGGGGACCCTGTCCCGCCCTGCAGGCGGGGCCAGCCTGTGGAATTGCTGGCCTTCTCCGGGCCAGGCAGCCGGCTGACGCCCTCCCAGCACGAGTCCCTGATGGAGCGAATCCAAGAAGCCACATGACACAAGACCTGATCTCCAGATGCCGTGCGGGGGCGCGCCCACAGCAGAGCAGCTCAGATAGCAACCGCACCGCCAAGTGCAAACCTGTCCGAACAGGCAGACTCATCTGCGGCTTCTTCTCCAGGCAGCCGACCCCGCCGCGCCTGGATGCCATGGACCGCTCAGGCCTGAAACCCTCGTTCTTTCCTGAAAATGGTTCTCCTTTTCCCCTAAATCTGACTCCTTCGTATACGTCTTGTCTTTTCAACACGTCGGTAAGCTCCTCTAGGGCAGGGGGTGTCTCCGGTATTTCCTTTACCCCCCACATCTCCCAGCAGGGCCGAGCACAGAGTAGGTGCTTTAAAAGTACTGGGTGAGTGGATCAAACAGAGCTGGGACCTCAGTCTTTGGAAAAAAAAAAAAAAAGCTCAGGTCTAACACACGGTTGCCACTTTTTACAGATTCTCCAAAAGCAGGAGGTTTAGAGATTGGCCAGTACTTGTCTGAATACTCAGTAATAACATTTGACCATACGATCTAGCCACTTTTTGTTTAATAACCCACCATTTCTTTGTGTTTTGATAGACTAGGACAGCTACCTCCCTGGCCAGCTACTTACACACACACACACACACACACACACACACACACTCACACACACCATGGGCATGACTCCAGCATTGTAAAACACTGGCC